ACAATAAATATAAGCAACACATTATTCAATGCTTTTTACTTTTGCATTGACTTTAGATTTAGACTCTAGATTTATATATTAAGTTGCTCAAGCAAGTGGCAAAACATTTAAACTACTTTTCTTACATTATCACAAACTTACCATTGACAGAAATAGTCAGATCTACTGCCTTTCCTTTTGCATTGAAATCTTTATTACAAGCAATCTTGTGGTTAATAATGAACTTTGTTTGCCTACCTCCACGAGTGCCATCTATTATTGCCTTATCTAAAAGTGCTCTTTTCCTTTAAACCTAGCCAAAAAGCCATATGTGTTGACTGTGAAACACAGTAGACTTTAATAATATGCATTTATGGTGTAATTACTACATTTTCGTGTCAATCCATGTTCATATTTACTGCAAACAATGCGCTGTTACTTTAATTCAGCACGTGCAGCGCAGCAAACAGACTCGGTGCGGAAATGATCTCTGCACTGCTGCAGACGCACCGCTACTGAACGCACTGCCGGACCGCAACCGTGTGCAGTGAACTTTATTAATCCGTTAACATGAGCGCGTAAAAAATACGCACCACATACGGAGTAATGTGAACCTGACAATATGTGTGTGCTCTGCGAGTGTGCATGAGCGCACGGTCTCCAGGAGAGCGCGCGGGCGCTGAATGGTTAAACACTGGCAAGAATTTAAAAGTAATGCAATTTATAAACTTTAGTGACATGCGATGTGGTGATTTGAAGCCATTTGCGTATTTTGAGAGAGAAAAAGAGATGGCGCACGATGATTCACTCACGCTGCTTGTGAAATTACGTCTCACACAAGGTTTTCAAATTACGTTATTTAATGAAGAAATATGAAGGTGAATACCTCACCTACAGCATTATAATTATTTTACCCGCGCCGGACAGAGACTGAGACGGTGCCGCTGCATGTCGTGCCAAACCTCTCACGGCAGCGTCATCAGCTTGAGATCGTTTTTTTGAGATCGGCCTTTTTAGAGATCGGTAGCCGATCAATCGGAGCACCCCTAATAAGCATGTTTGCAAAAATCCTTAAATCTCCTGAACACTAGATGGAACTATGTTCAAACTTCTCAGGTACCTCCGGGACATGCTGTTAATGAGTTTCAAAATGGCGGACCGCCTGTCCGTCATCAAATCCTGACATTGGTATATCAGCATGATCCAAGGTATCCACAGACATCAATGATCATGATTTTCTGACTAACAGTTCAAAAGTTATTAGGAAAAATAGGTGACTCTTGTGAGAGGGGAAGCAGCACGGACTGTGCTTTCACACAGGTGTCCACTACTGAATCATGGCTGTTCCATAAAAATAGGCGATTTTTGGTATCTCATGGCCCGTAGGTGGCACTGGAGATCCCAAAGGAGATCCTAAAGTTGGTCAGATTACTATTCATGACCATCACTACAAGTGTGCCAAATTTCATAATTTTCTACTTACGGTTCATAGGGTTGGCACAGACTCCCAGTGGGAAGGAAGACGAAGAATAAGAAAACTAACAGATACAATAGGTGCTACAATGCCTTTGGTGCTTGGCCTCTAACAAAAAATACCCTAACAAACAAATTGATTGATTAAAAAAAAAAAAATCAATCAATCAATCAGTAAAGTGTTTGATTGATGAACTGCTTTTAAGCTCTAAAAAGTGGAAATTAACAAGCATCAGAGCTAAAATGTGGATAACTGAAATAATTTCTTGCCAAATTAGTGGCTGAATACCACAATCTGACCCACGTTTCTGAGTCAACAGTTGTTAGTTCAGTGTGGGAACGTTCTAGTCACTGACCACGCTTGGAGTGAGAACCAGTCTGACCGCTATAACAACATGAAAGAAATAGCTTTTCAAACATGTAAAAAAGCTGTAGCCTGCAAAAACTGTACAGTCCTATTCCAGATAATCACCAGTCACACAGATCTGTAGCTGTGCTGGAATCGCTTGAATTTGCTGTGACATTGCTTTTGGAATAAGTAATTAGATGTGCTCTCAGCACCGCTAAAGATATTTGACTAACTCCATTTCCACGAGTTCACAAGGTCAAACGAACATCTAAGCGAAGCATCAATATGGGTAGAAAATATGTTTAGTAAATAAACAGCCTGCTATACTACAAAGGTTCATCCCGCTGACAAAACAGAAACTAGTAAGTAAAGATCATAAATTTTACCCTTGAAAACATACACAGAGTTCTTCTGTTCTTCAGACCGCTGCCTTTCCTCACCCAAAACGCTTTGAAAGACCAAAGCGGGTCCAAAGCAATTTTAAACCTCACTTCAAAATCTACCAAATGCACACAAACTCCCTTGGTACATCTGTTGAGCGTTCGCTAAAGCTTCAGCTAAATTTACTAAAATGCAATGAACAAACAAGAAAAAGACCCATAAATGTGGATGCTACATTGTTGAGAATCATGTGTCCGCTAGTTGGCAAAAAATGGGATGAATTGGGACTTTTGCGAAAACAAAAACCGGTGGTAACGGTTGTCATCTCTTACCTTGGTAATGAGGATGCGGTATTGCTCCAGCAGAGGCTGATCATTGTGGCAGCCAGACAGGAGCTGCCAGACTTCAGCTCGTAAGGCCTCTGGGATCCCAGGCTTCACCAGAGCAGACAGACCCTTGGGTCGTGTCAACAGGTTTCCTTGCCTGACAGGTGGAAGACAGACGGCATCAGTGCACCACAACAAAGCTGATCCGGACTGCGCTCCAAATCTGGCCATACCACAAACTTCAAAGTCTCAAGTCGGGCCAAAAGTCTCACCATCTGTTGAGGATCCCTCCCCAGGATTCCAGAATCTTCTCAGGACAGTCCTTCGACACATCTCCTGTCCCGCTAGAGATCTCACTGTCACTATCTGTACAGCGGAGGACAAAGATAAAATGTTTGTTAATGCTGTTATCAGGGGTTAAAGCAAAAAATAAAATCCTGAGCCTGAACTTTTTCGGTGGCGGGGCGGGGTAGCACATGCAAAGCATGCAATGACTGTGGCAACTTTAACATTTGAAAGGATGCTTTGGCAAAGTTATTGCTTTCTTTATTGAAACAGATTTTTTTTCATGAATATATGGTTGACCTGAAGAATGAAAGCTGTATCATACACTTGGAAAATTATATCACCGCTTATCGACACTAGGGGTGTGACAATACACTTAGTTTATGCGATGAGACAAAATACAGATTCTTGGTTCACTAGAACGTGACAATATTTTAATACTATTTTTAAGAAATTTTCAATGACAAAATATTTGTCTTTTAATTACAAAAAGTAAAACAATACAGTTGTATTTATAAATATTTTAACTAATCTAGGCCTGTAACTACTGATTATTTTGGTAATCAAGTAATCTACTGATTATTTTGACATTATTTAATCTGATTTTTTTAGTAACAAACAGACCTAAGTGAAAACCAGGCTTTAGTATGACTATTTATATATAAACTAACGATGAGGCAATAATAATTGGCTCAAATAAAATATCAAAACCAAGAAATCACATGATTGTATTGAACAACACTGTTAAAATATATAATGTAATATGCCTATACATATGAACATAACCAACTTAAGTACATTATGTATTAAAAAGCGATGTACAATACATGGCATATTTAGACATAGGTTGATGTATTCTCCTGTGTTAGCAAAGGTTTTTAAATGATTTACGTTACAAATCTAGTGAGATAATGCACACTGTTTTTCCAGATGAACGTTAAACAATTCAAATTCACGGCATATGCAGAGGAAGAGTTTAGCCCCTTTTACACATAGGCCTACAGTACTGGTAAATTACCGGTACGTTACAATTAATAGATCATGTGTGAACAGGACCTTTTCAAAAATCCCGGTAAATTTGTTGTGGCAATCATATCGTTTAATCATATCGTTTTATGGAGATGACATGATTACTCTGAGCTGTTTACAAAGCTCCGCTGCTTTTTAATTAGTTATTCTATGTAAATATGCGCTAGATGGACATCTTTGACCATTGCGCCTGGCAACTTTTTGTCACGCTTCTCCATTCATCAGGGCTGCGACTCTGCAATTGGATACTATTATGCGCTTCTCGTGTTTATAAGAGCAAAACATTCTGTTTGGCTAGTAATGTTAGTTTGGTTGAGAGTGAAAGCTGTGCTTCTCTCATACCATTGGTAGGCGAACTCATGGACTCGAAAGTGATATCAATCAACATGATTTTTTTTTTTAAATGTAGGACTATTTTTTTCCGCAGCCAAACGCTGCACGCCGGAGATCCGGCACGGTGCCGGAGAACTTTAAGCCCTGTGTTATTGAAACACATAGTAGACAAAAATATTTTAATAATAAAATGTAATAATTTTAATAACGTGCTAAGAATGTAGCAATATCTAAAAAGAATATGATTGTCTCCATTCATAATCCAGTCATAGTCAATAATATCAGACATTGATCCACTTGAGCTGAAGTAGTAAACAAGCAGGTTAATGAACTCACACAAACGTATAAACAGGAGATTAACCAGATATGTAGACAACATAAATATAATATTGTGCAATACATCTGCACAAAACGATGCAAGTGAGTAAATGAACTCACTAGTCAGAATGTGTGAAAACGCTCTTTCCATAAAAACATGGCACAACATGGACAATGAAGTACGGCAAAAAGAAATCGCAATACTGAACTTGTTTTTGTTAAATTATATGTTTAAATGATAAAATATATGATTTTGTTTTTCACTTTCTCGTCAACTACAGTATTTTTTTTTTGACTAAAATCAGATGCCATTTACTAAACAAAATATATTTTCGTCCAAAGACAAGAACTATGACTACAAGTGCGGCCACATTAACAACATTTTCATGATATTTTGCAGGCAAAAAAAAAAAAAAATCTATTATTTTCAACAATGTTGATCGACATGGCAAATTCACATAACCAACTTGAACCAATTGCGAAATATGCATGGGGAAATCTTCCGTCAATGCAAAATTCCTGTTTGTGATGTGAAATGTGAAGTGACGTGTGGCCAAGTATGGTGACCAATACTCGGAATTTATGCTCTGCATTTAATCCACCCAAGTGCACACACACACTGTGAACACACACCTGGAGCAGTGGGCAGCCATATTGTTGCAGCGCCCAGCGTTTGTGTGTATTCCTATTAAAATTACTGAATTTTTTGTAAATGTGACCACACCTTAAAACTAAAAAAATAAAAAATAATAACATCAAAACAACGCTGGCTCTATCAATCTGCCCGACTACAGCTATTGAGAGCAATTCCAATGTTTATTCCTATTAAAAAAAAATATATTTGCCAGGAACAACAGTAAATGTTGTTAAAAAAACTAAAAATAACACTGACTCTAATAATTATGGCCATATGGTGGGCATTCTGCCACAATACAGCTGCTGTTATGCTTTGAGAGCAATATTAAAACATAAATCAATATTAAGAACTAAGTGACGCAATCAGATCCCACTTTAAGCTCAAGTTGTCACCCTCCGGTAAGAGTCTATTCCGAGTTTCAAAGTACATCCTGTCCTGTCGTCGTCAACTGCGAATGCATGTACATTGTGGGCAAACATCATTGCTACACCTCCCCACAGGGCAGCACTTCGGATGACTCCATTCAGGCATGTTAGGATGCTGCACGACTCCTTTGAAACACAGCGTTCAGGCGAAATTACAGAATCGTCCTTGCAGCATCAAGAAGACCGAGGTGAGTTACACGGCGTACACACCTGCATTAGTCAGGGCAGCGGAGTGCCAAGATTACTGTCACGCCTTGAGGTGATAAAGAAAATGTCTTGGACTTAATGTCTGCAAAGGTCATTAAGAGCCGACCAGCAGACTCTCTGCCCTCCGAGCCCATATCTCAAGGTCTGCGTCCACAACATGGCCACCCACAAAGATGTTTGGAGGAAATGAACAGCAATGCATCTGGTGGCGTCAAAAGTTAGTAATGGCAATTATGGCAAAAAGAAGCAAGAAGAAGTTTTTAATGTAATGATCTTTAAATAAAGAACAGAAACGCTTGTACTGCTGAAAGAGGGGATGAATTTTGAGCACATTTACAATGTTCATGACCTCAAGCGAGAGCCTCAAATGCCGTACATTTTACAATCACCAATGTGAGGTCTGGAATACAATGGTTTCTTTTGAAATGCTTTAAAAGGGCTTCTTTTTACATTTACTGCACAAGAACCTTGGCAATGTTGCAAGGAGAGAGACTGCGATAGGGAGAGAGAGAGCAGCCTTGAGCAGAGCCTCTGTCGCAAGGTGACATGGCCGTTTGGTAGCAGATGTGGGCGGATGAATCTTCTTTTCCATCTGCCTCCCCAATAGATCTCAGAAACGGTAGTGAAAGTTGGCGAGGACGAACGCTTACAAAAACAACAATGACTTATTTGTACAGCCCAGAAATCGAGGCTTGGAACAAACTGCACAAATCAAAAGATGAGATTCAATGAGAACGGCTGAATAAGAAGGAATCATTCATTCATTTCGTCCACAGAGAAGCTATACACAGAGTATTGATTTATTAAATGTAGTAGATGGTGTAAAATACTTTGGTGGTAAAGTTAAGGATGCATGACAATATATTGGTGAAAATACCAGTCAACATTATCAATATTGCTCATACTTTGGGTTACGTATTTTAACAAACTGCTAAAAAAAAACAGAGTTTTGCACTGACACATTGATCAAAAAAAAATAAATAAAATAAAATAAAATAAATATATATATAATCTTTAATTAATGCATTTTTATTTTATTTTTGGACGATTAGACATTCATGCCATGGTTATTTATTTATTTTAAGTTATATATAGGAGTTAAAATAAGTTATGTGTGTGTATATATATATATATACAGTGGGTACGGAAAGTATTCAGACCCCCTTAAATTTTTCACTCTTTGATTAATATAATAGGACCCGACTATGTGGAAAAACGAATTGCTTAGTCTATGGAAATTTTGCCCCTATTAAATGTAACAAGACTCGTATTTTATTCCAGCTCTGTTTTGCCAGCATATGGAATCCCTGTATTTATGCTTTGTAAAATGCGAACATCCTCCAAATCTGGCAACCTTCAACATCACCTAAATTATGTAAATAGCCTTGCACTCGATTCCCTCTAACGAGTTAAATTACATATTAAGTATATTACTAATATGAATATACTATAAACTAGGGATGTAACAATTCACTCAACTCACGATTCGATTCGATTCACGATTTTGATTTCACGATTCGATTCACGGTTTTATTTATTTATTTTTTTTACAAAATGAGATTTACAATAAAAAATAATAAATTAAATGTGCCCTTTTATTATTGCTTGGACAAAATGCTGCACATTTCTTTGTGAAATTGAAATATAATAATATAATAATATACTAATATAGCACTTGCATATTACTGCTCTTTTGTTGGTTTTGATTGCTTCTATTGTCCTCATTTGATACCACAAACTTTTCTAAAGATAGTCAGTTCCCCTCAGAGATACAGTCATATAAACTCCTACTCCAATTGTATCGCGATTTGTTTGGCATCTCAACCGATTTGAAACGTCACATATTTGAATCGATTTTCAACCGGCTCGCGGTTAATCGTTACATCCCTACTATAAACTATAATGCTCATGGTTTATTTATTATTGCTTGTGCTCATCAAATAATGTAACGCTGTTTCTTTGTTCAGCTGTTTAGGAAGCGCAAAAGAAACTTTTGAGGAATATTCAGACAACATGTGTGTCATAATGTACGCCTAGCAAGCAAGTATCCCTGCAAATAAACAGTTAAAAAACACAACTATCACACCGTTCACAGACATTAGGTAGTAAATAACACAGAATTGTCCTTTAAGCAACCCTCTACGGACACCTTGGCAATTGAATTGCCATTGGCTAG